TGAAAAGCCTTTGTACCACCAGTGAGTAATCTGCCCTTTCAACGCGGCGGCGAGCAGCAGGCGCACCCGGAGCACCTTGGCCTACCTGTGGCACAAAGGGCAATGAACGTTTGCGCATGCTTCCGGATCAAAAGCAACTTGTCTTTAGGTAGAGGCAGCTTCCTTAGGATGTGCTCAATGAAATCGTGCGGGGTGATGGCTGCGAGGTTCCACTTCAACTTCCCCAGCACCACCAGCTCCCATTCCTGCAGGGGGGGGGACAGGGACGAGGAAGAGAGAAGAAAAGCCATAAGCAAGTCTGAAAAAACCCCACTTCGCTTATTTCTCTGATTGTAATTATATCACTGCTAAGTTGGTTTTGCTCAAACATTTTTCTCCGTATGCCCCTACTGCTTTGAAGTTGTTGACTTTATTCTTTTTATTCTTTTTTTTTGTTTTTTTTTTAACACTGGACATGTCAAGCTCTACTGAAAATAATGAGACCTGGCAGCTCCTGCCAAGATTTTACTTTTTTTGTATCCAGTGCTGAATGCCCACCCAGAAAGTTTAGCCTGCAATTAGATATTGCCAAGGTCACTGTGGTCCTCTCCTAGTAACTTATTTTAAATGGCTATAGTCCTTACTTTATAGCCATTTAAAGCCCTAGGGATAACCAGGCACAAAAATAACCTAGATATACATTCTTTTTTTTTCAAAACTGAGGAAGTTAGCTTGATGGCATTCTCTCCCAAAACTGTATTCAAAAGCCCATGCAGATAAATCTGACGGTGCTTAAACTACTCCAAGACAGGCTTTGCAGAAAGAAAACGCACGTAACACAGCCAAGAAGTAGCCTGTGTAAATTATCTGTCAATAAATCATGTAGGATCCATTCCCACATTCTTTGCACGCACAAAACTCCCAGCGAAATCAAAGGAAAGCTTGGGCGCGTGTGTAACTGCTGCCTGTTCCCTGCAATGGGATTACATGTAGAAATCGTACCTAATCAACAGATACGGCCACGGGGTTCAAGCAAGGCTATACCTGCATGCTTCAACACTTAAAATAAGTTTCGAATACCTTACAGTGTCCCGCAGAGCGAACAAAGCTCAGGCCTTGGACTCGTTTCTGCCTCATGCATCAACTATTAGCTATTAACTAAATTCCATGCACTGATTCTGGAGTCCTGATGATGCCTGAGCCCGATGGAGCCCAGCGTGGCGGGGAGCCCCAGCTAAGCTCGTAGAGCTGGCAAGTCAAAAAAAAAAACGTCCTTTAATTTTGCAGCCGAGGAGACGTCAACCAGCGTTGCTGAGAAACCATAAACATGGACCCCACAATGCCATTTCTGCAGTCGTTTCTCTGAATAGACGCCCGCTTTAACAGCAAGTTAACTTTCCTACAGACATTCCTACTGGATTATGACAGAGCCCTCCATAGCTTGAAAAATCTTATGTTCATGTATGTAACCGGTCCCAGAAACTAGATAGCTTTTTTTTTTCTTTCTAATGAAAACCTGTAAAATATTTGAACATAATGGCAATTATGTTAACTAAGGACTGATCTTCCCAACACTGCTAACTCGACAGGTTTTGATATAGAAGAGCACTTAATCCAGTGGACTGAAGAAAGGGCAGCACTTAAAACACATGCTTAAACCCACACGGCACAAAAAGGTGGGCACATTGCTCCACGTCTTCTCGCACGGGGGCCACGGCACTTACCCCGAACAGTCCGTACCACCAACGGGACCCCTCATGCCTGTGACAGCCACGGCAGGGTTTGCGGCGCAAAGCTCTTTACTCTGCAGAAGCGTGAGCTCCCAACCCCTCCCCGGGGGGAATTCCCATTGCCTTCACCCAGTGATTCATAGGAGAAATTCTCCTGGGATTCGGCTGGCATCGCGCGTTCACCAGGATCTGTGAGAACAAAGCTATCTGGCTGAATGGACATCTCACTGGGAGGCTTAAATACTTGCCTCTATACCAAGAGGTGCTTTGCAAATATTAATTGTTCCATTAAATAACGTTGATCCTTTTTGTTTCTGCTTTCACCACATCCCAATAGGACGTAGTAGGAGGATGTACCATGAGAAGCACCAGACACAGCCTTTCACTTACGGCGATGTTCAACC